AGGAAGGGGAAAAGACCCCAGGCCAGGTGAGGGTTGCGGAGGGCGGGCAGGCGGAAGAGCACGCAGGCTGAAGCTGCTCCAGGTGCTGCCTTTGCTGGTCTGGGCCTTACCTGCTAATTTTACATCTGTCATTGCTAAACTAGTTTTGAAAGATTGATTTTTCTTTGCTTATAGATTGAATTTTCCTGTGTCTTTGCATGCTAATAATTTTTTATTGGATGTAGACATTAGGAATTTTAACTTGTTGGGTGCTGTATATTTTGGTATCCATATAAATCTTGCATTTCATTCTGGGATTGAGAACAGTTTGATCCTTTAGGGTCTTGCTTTGAACATTTGTTATTTCTCTGCTACTGTGGCAAGACCCTTCTGAGGTCCCTGCCCAGTGCTCTGTAAATTACGAGGTTTTTGTCTGGCTTGGGGGAACAGGTCTATTCCCCACCCTGCATGAGGACAGGCACTATCACCTGTAATCTTTCAGATTTTTAGCTTGGCCCAAGGTAGTTCCATCACATACATGTGCTGATTGGTACTCTGCCAAAAACTGATAGGCAGCCCTCTGCAGATGACTAGAGCTCAATGTCTGTAACTCTGTCCTTCAGTGCTCTGTCCTGCAGATGCTAAACCCTGGACCTCAGCTGTCTGCTCAATGCAGAATGTTCCCAGGCCCTGCATTCCTGCTCCCTCTGCCGCACCCTAGACACTTCCTCCAGGCAGGCAGTAAGCTGGGCAGTCAACAGGGCTCACTTTGTTACTCATCTCTCAGGGATCACTGTCCTTGGTTGCCTGATGATTGGTGTCTTGAAAACTTCTTTCATATATTTTGTGTGTTTTGGGGTTGTTCAGGCATGTAAGTAAACCCTGTTGCTAATCCTCATCTTGGCCACAAGTAGATGTCTCCAGTATCCTATCTCTGCAAAGTGAAGGAGCTCTTACTGTCCTTAGAATGTCTTTCTAGCTCATTATCTAGTGTACACAGGCTCACTAAACAGTTGTTGAATAAATAAGCATGTATTGATGATCATATTGTAGTATTGAGCAGGTTATCATGTGTATCATTGTGTAAAAACAAAAATGCCTTTCCAGCATCTGCTCCTCATCCATTGGTTCGGTTGGTTTGAGGTTTGTGTTTCCTGTCAAAAGGTATATCCCAAAGCCCTTTGGAGATTGTAGTGGCCTAGTTTCCTTAAATCTTTTCTGCAAAAGGGTATATAAACATATAAACAGTAAAATTAGTTAGGCCTTTCCTCTCTATAGGAATGATATAAATAAGAGCCATTTCTGTTTCTTGCTACACTTACTGTATACTCTGCCAGGATGGGAGCTACGATGTGACTAACATAATTCTTAAACATTTGCAGTAGCTATAACTTGGTATCAGAGCAGAAGAGATGAGGATTTGTGAAGAAAGGTCCTGGCAATAAAATTGTTAATGTGCTTCACAGGATCTCTCACTGATTTTGTGACAATAGCAAGGATTTTGGCAAGAGATTCCTTCTCCCCACCCCACCATCACTTTTGGCATAAACATGAGTTTGGATAAATGCCATGCATTTAATTTACTGTTACAAGAATTCTTATCTTGATTTCTTCTGTTTCCTTAGCTGCCATTTTGTAGTAGCAGAAACATTACTGAGCTATTTTAACATTCTTGGCTATCAAGAGTCATAGCCCTGTTTTTGTTTGTTTCATTTTTGTGTTTGAGGGTCATGCCATTTTGGTCTTACCTGAGAGATTTTTTTCTGATCTACTCATTGCTTATTTTCTTAATTTGCTACAATGTAAAGAATTGTAATTTCAGTTTTAAAAAATTCCAGTTTTGGACTTTGCTATGTTAAATAAGGAAATTAAAGTCATTTAGACATAATGCTGTCTGCTAAAGGATAAAATAAATGCTTTTTTAAAGACATTGTTAATTCAAATAAATGCAAATATTAAAAATTATAAGTCAGGGCTTTTTGACTATATTTCAAGGAGAGGAAAGTAACTCATCCTAATCTTTTCAGAACTGTAATTATTCAGATCAGTGCTTCAACCTGAGTAATTAAGAATCAGAATCACCTAGGGAGCTTTTTCAAAAATATCAATGTATAGCCAATCCTCATGGGTTGTTAGTTTTTTTCAGAGGACTGTTTCTATCTCTCTTACGTGTGTGCGTGTGCATGCATGCGTACCCACACATGAAATTCCAGGGGAAATAAGAATAAAGAATTGACATTGAGCTAACCCAATACCACCTACCTGTGGACTTAACTGAGATTATAAAAATACTTTTTGTTTGAACCCTCCTACTTTAAAAGGGGTCTGCGGATCAGCAGTTTGGCATCACCAGGGAGACTGGTTAGAAATGCAGAACCTTGTCCCATGTCAGACCTGCTGCATCAGAATCTGTACTTTAATGAGATCACCTGGTGAATGAGACACTCATTAAAACTTGAGAGGCACCAGTGTAAGCCACTTTCAATTGGGTATTCTGCTATATGCAGTTGAAAACATCCTCACTAATACAAATACATTGTGGATTGACCAAGAGCCATTTTTTCAATAAGAAAATACTTGACCAGAAAGATTTCTGATTCAGATGTAGGAGTTGCAAGAGACAATTATTCTCACCATAATAACCTAAGAAAGCAGTGTAAGTGCCTACTCTTATTTTTTTAAAACCATCAGAGAACTTGAGGACACAAACCTAAATGACTCCAGAAAGTGACAAGCCATCTGTAGGAGTGTTAATCTACTCCTGCTCTCTTTCCTGACTCAAATATAGGGAAAAGGAGAAAAACACTGCAAAAAGAAGTAAGGAGGAATCAGCCTAATCTTTAACAAACTTAATGACCATGCATGGGCTGACATGACAGATTAGAATCCAGAAAAGCCCTAGACCAGTGCTGTCCACTAGCACTTTCTGCCATGATGGAAATGTTCAATATCTGTGCTAACCAGTGTGGTAGCTACTAGCCAAGTAAATGTAGCTATCAAGTACTTAAAATGTGCCTAGTGTGACTTGAGGAACTGAAATTTTAACTTTATTTTAAACTTAAATAGTCACATGTGTGGCTAGTGGCTGCCCTGTTGGACAATGCAGCCCTAGGGGCAGTGAGACCCCACTACCTCCCACTTCTTTCCTCCAAGTCTTTATGTAGTGCCGGGAATACTACTCCAAGAACTAAGATAGTGAAGCAGTGTGAGAGGAAATTCCTGAGGCACATGCTTTCAGCTGGCAGAGACTGAGGGACAGGCAGGAGAGCAAAAAAAAATCCCTTCCAGGCTGTCCCCAACTTCACAGAGTGTAGAGCAGACAAGACAACAGTGGGACTGAAAGATCTGGCAAACCCAAAAATCAGGAGGTGGAACTGGAAAAACGCGAGAGCTCCCCTCTCACCAAGATAGCTGTCAGCCTGAGTTACACATCGGGAGAAATCTCTCACAATTCATACTCCGAAAAAGGAGATAGCTCAGATCTCCAGAACTTCACTAGGGTTCTAGACCCAGGCCTTGCCGAAGAGACAGAATCCTGATCCTGTCCTCAAAATGTTTGAAGCCAGTGAGTAACTGAATTAAACTAAAGTTGCAACAAAGCCCAGATTCAGCTCAACTGTAGAATATATTGATTAAGCCCTGAACAAATGGATATGGTCCTTTGTGGGGATAAATATCATTTCCCCCAGTCTCTGCTATACTTTTATACAAAAATGCCCAGCATACAGTCAGAGACTTTAAGACATCTGTGACCATACTTAGGAAAATAAACAGTCAATGGGAGACTCAGAGATGCCCCCGATACTGGTGTCATCAGTCAGGGACTTTAAAATAACTGAGACAAAAATGCTGAAGAATCTGGTGGACAAGGTGCACAGTATACGGAAACAGGGAATTTCAGCAAAGACACAAGCTATTTTTTTAAAAAGAACCAAATGGAAATGCTAAAAATAAAAAAACATAGTATCAGAAATTAAGATCCTTTAGGTAGGCTTAAGCAGAAAATACCTGAGCAGCCTTGGCCAGATTCCTGGTAGCAGTCCATATTGTGAAGGGATTCCCTATGGTTACACTGATAATCCCTTGGGCAGGAAGTCCCACAGTACTCACTCACTACACTAATTATAAGCCCACAAACATTTCTTTGAACAGTGCATTGGATTCATCAGGCCACATAGTCTCATATTTTCCTGGGAGTTTCCTGATAGAAAAGAATTGGCACTTCTGTAAATCCATACATAGGCCTTTCCAGATCATTTAGTGAGAATTTTTCCCTGTCTTGGAAGAGAACCCAGAGGCAGTGTTGGTAACTAATCCCTATCAAGTGTGAATACAGCTTGTTGGTCAGCTGTGCTGCAGCTGTATCATCATTGTCCATTCCCTTCATATTTTCAATCTTGCCTTGAACATATGGTAATGAAATACTGATTTTCAAATAATAAAGATTTTAGGTTTCTACAACAGCTAGTTTGTTAAAAGGTAATTCTTATAGTGTCCATTGAGGTTTAGAGGAACAGTGGTCAAATTTCAGAATACAAGTAACTCAGGACATACAGGAATTTCTTTGCAATTAGAACTTAGATTTCTGGAATCATAATTCCATTGCCATACCCCAAGTGACTAACAATTTTTTGCTTAAAAGTAAGTGGATTCTTAGAATGAGGGTTTTTTTAATCCTTTTAAAGTTTTACAGATTTTTTTTGTTTATACCTTCATTCATTTATCTTCTAATTCAGTGTTTGTAGAGTAACTCACAACTGCTCCAAAAAGAACCTGTTTTTATTTTCACAAATAAAATTTCTGATGTGATTTTTTTTTCCATTCTAATTTGTATGGCCAAGGTATTACTCTGGATACTTATAAATACATATCAAAGATGAAACAAAATTATGGTAGATGTTTATCTTGACTTTTTATTTCAGCTTGAATTGTACATACTGTTAATAATTTTTTTTAGAAGATAAAATGGTAATGAGTTCATAGCAATAGTAGTGGAATTAACAGATTGCTTTATTTTACAGGGAAAATATTTATCCCTAAACAGAAACCGATACAGACTTTTGCAGAAGAAAAAGTATCTCTTGATCCAGAATTAGAAGAAGCTTTGACAAGTGCTTCTGATACAGAACTATGTGACCTCGCAGGTATCTACTAAAACAAATGAGATTATGAATGAGTGTGGAAGGGAGGGGAACGCCAGCACACACCTATATACATTGTGTAAATGCCTCCCTTGCTTAGCAAAGTGCTGTTGAATCAGTGACCATATATTTGGTTTTTTACACTAGAAATCTGATACATAAAGGATTTCATTTCTTTAAATTCCCTCAGTGGTGAAATTTTTATACTAATGGAATTTATTGTATTAACACCTTTCCCCATCTTGGTGTATTGTTCATCAGCTGGTGATCAGCTAGAAGCTGTCCCATCTGAGCACTGATAAAGAGTCTCCAGGGTCAACTGCTGTCCTATTTTATTAGAAGACCCTAAGATGGATAACAAAAGCAGATGAAACAGTCAGTCCTGAGCTGTACTCACCCCATTTCCAAAGTGTGTTTGGGACACACCAAACCTCCCTGTTAGTCATTGCCAGTTTCTTTTCTGGACCAGTCTACCCCACCTACCTTCACACACATATATTTTCCTATATAGAAAAACATGATGGATGGGGAGAGCTAGTACCGAGTAACCCCAAGAACTAATATGTTTGAAATGAACAATGATGGCTCTTTGGGAAGGGCCCAGGAAAGGGACAGCCACGGTGTGGTGCCACAGCCTGAGCCGATGTCTTGTGTCTTGGAGGGCTAAGAATGATGGATTTGTAAATGGTGCATTCATCAGAGTGGGATGGCCAGGGGCATACTGCAGCTTTTGCCTCATTTGTGTGCAAAAGGGCACCGAAAACCCGAACCACGTATATTTCTCCTCAGTGTCATTTATGAGGAATGTTACTTTAATCTTAACTATGAGAATTCAACACTACTTTTAGCACTCTCTTTTAGCTAAAATACAATATGAGTGTTAAGAAATGTAAAATTAGTGAAGGTTAATTTGAAAATCTGCCTTTATTGCATGTTCCTAGAAACCTTGTGAGAAGGATGAACCCCACAGATAAATCATTTCAGTTTTCTCCCTTAGCCACCAGATGGAGCTAAGCACAGACTTATATTTAGGGCTAGGCTGGCTCCAGGGATGTGTCTGAATTAAGAAGTATGGGAGGAAATAACAAGGACATTGTCTCTCATTTTTTTGGCTGCAAAAGCTGTATTTAGTTGAGTAGGAAAATGTTAAAATCACTTAGATAAGAAATTTTTGGTTATAAAATCAATTCTTTATGTTTAAAACTGATGAAATAAAAGGTAATTTTCTTTTTCTATATTTATAGCTATTCTTGGTATGCACAACTTGATAACAAATACACAGTTCTGTAATATAGTGGGAAGTAGTAATGGTGTCGACCAAGAAAATTTTTCAAGTGAGTATAATGCTTTGTGAATTCTATCCTTCGTTAAATACATTTTGTTTTTTCCATGTATCAACCTCAGTATATACATACCAAATATTATGTGTATGTACTTGAAGCCTAAGATTCCAGCTAGATGGTACTGACATAGAAAACTATTGAGAATAGCATATTAATATTTTATGCTTAATGTGTCAGGAAATTTAACAGGAACCATTTTATCCTCACTAAATAATACTAATGATAAACAGTATAAAAGCTAATTAAATTTGGCTTTTGTTGACATTTTATTTTCACTGTTACTGATTATCAAGAAATCCACAATGTTGACAAACTGCACTGTAAAATCAGATCAGGAGGAACCACAGAACTATTCAGTCCATAAAGCTTTTGGTCTGATATGAACTATTAAATAGCCTAAAGCAAAGCTTTCTAAAAAAAATTTATTTATGTTTTAAAATTACCAAAGTAATACATACTTTTGTAGCACATTTGAACAATACCTAAGTGTACAAGGTAAAAAGCAAAAGTCTCTCTATTTATAACAATCATGCCTTCTACACCCCCCAGGTCCCTACCCCAACCCAAACTGTTAACAACTTTGTATATATCCTTCTAGACTTTGTACTATGTTTATTCAAGCTTATACATATGTACATGTTATACATTAATAGTCATTTTTTTTTTTTAAGAAAAATGGGACCACACTATAGATACTTCTTACAACTTAATTTTTCAGTAATACTACTATGGGCTGATTTTTTTGAATGCTGATTATGGGTCATGTTCTGTGCATAGTTCTTGAATGTGAATTGTTCTCAATCTATGCAGTAGTTCTGTGAATTGGTATTATTATTATGCTTAATTGGCATGTGAGGGAACTGAAGTCTTAGAATAATTAAGAAAGTAACTTCAGTGTCACACACAGTCAGTGATAACAACTTTAACCTATGCTGTTACAGTATATCACTTAGCAGTATATCATGTTTCCTAGCTAATACTTAAAAATTTACCTCATTCAAAAGTCTGTATAACATTCCAGTTTCTGAATGTCCTATAACTTGGCCATTCCCCTTTTAAAAATTTTTTTATTGTAGAAATGTTCAAGCATATGTAATAGAAAAGAGTAAAATACATCCATCACCAGCTTCAGCTGTTTTTGTTTTTGTTTTTAACATGTTACCAACCTTGCCTCATCTATTGTCTGCCTCCCTCCCCAACCCTTCCACTTTTTCTCCTGGAATATTTTAAAGCAAATCCTGTTCATTTCTATTACTTCACCTATAATATTTCCATATGTCTCTCTCTCAAGTGAAGGACTTTCTTCTAACATAACTGCCATGTCACTATCAAAGTTAAAAATTAAAATAATTCCTTCATATCATCTAATACCCAGTCCACATTCAGATGTCCCTCTTCTCTCAAAAACATCATTTCGCAGCTGGTTTGCTCAAATTAGGATCAAAATAAGGGTCACACTGCATTTGTTGTTGTTTGTTTTCAGTTCCTCTTAACTTCTTAACATCTGTCCTCCTCAGACTCTTTCCTCCTTTATGCCATTTATTTCTTGAAGACTACTTGTCATGTAGAATTTTCCACATTCTGGATTTGGCTGATTGCAACCTTGTAGTATCATTTTACATGTCTCTCTATCTCCTGTGTTTCTGTAAACTTTTATTTTCTTGAGTCCTGATCGTGTTCAGGTGCAGCTTTTTGGGTTTTGTATTTTTGGCAAGAATGCTTCCTAGGTGCTGATTGAATCACATTAGAAAACATATTAGGTCTGGTCATTCCTCTTTGGGAAAGGTGCTCAGATTGATGAGTGGGTTCAAATGTTGACAGCCTGATCCATTTAAAGCTCCACATGAACCTTTATTAATGGTTTAAGCATCCCATTGACTGAATCCATTATTTCATTAGGGAGCAAGGCTCCTTAAATACACATGTTCTGTAGATTGGGGAAAGAAATCTTTTGGTTTTATAAAATTTGCAGTTGAGGAAGAACTTGTTCAATTTTCCATTCAATGTTGGAGCTCTTCTCTGTATCCATGATTACCATCTTGAACACTGCCTTGCTGAACTTAGCATGAGGGAGAGCCCACCTTGTCCTTTCAGCAGAGCTCTGTTAAGAAGCTCCTTCAGGTATTAAACCAAATTCTGCCTCCTGGCAATCTACACTGGTTCTAACCCAGCCTTCTAGAACATGAAATTTTTCATTCCTTCTATAGATAGATCTGAAAACAAAGATATTTCTGTTAATATATACTTCTAGGCTAAATATATCCAAATCTTTCAACTGTCCTCAGCAAAATAATTTTAAGACCTTATCTGAGTTGATCTCCTCAGAATGGTGTGTATGTGTGTGTGTGAGCACATGCACGTGCGAGAGAAAGAGTTGAAAAGAAAAGGATACTCTTGGAGGGAATTTACTGGGTAAGTAGACATTATACCTTGTCTTAAGATGCATTTTGCTCCTAAAAGCTAGAGGGAAGAAGAGAAGAACTAAACCAGAGACCCCGTCAGTCTTCCTGTGTCAATTACTGTCAACATTGTGGCGATCATTTGCCTCTTTGAGAATCTGATGCTATCTATGAGTGGTCTCCCCAGAAGATTTATCATAAAAATTTGCCTGTCACATGTGTTCATACTCCTCCACACACACATCAAAGCACATGTATATCTCATTAGAGGGCCCAGGCTTCCAGGTCCTTTTTCAACTTCACATGGCTTGTATTCTGGCCCTGTATGTGGATATGGTTTGTATATATGGCGAAGGGCAGGGATCCAAGTGAAGGAGGGCAGTAACTTTTGGAATTTTGTCTCAGTAGCTCTTCTGCGTACCATCACCTCCCTCTGTCTCCCCACTCCCTATTTTTAACTCTTCTCCCTGCCTTTCTTACTTTGTAGTACTACCCAAGAAAGGAAGAGGTAATGTGCTCTTCCATCGCCTTTCTCTTCTCATCGAGACGGTATTCCTCAAGTCTGTGATTCTTACTGCCTTTACAGCAATTACCAGTCAAATTCAGAAACAGTGACATGAGATACTAGGTTTCATCACATTAGGAGTTTATCTTAAACATTGATAAAAATAAACAGGATCATTAGGGTTGTCAAATATATTTTAGTGATAAAGATATCTTGCAGTATACCAAGAGGCAGTGAAAATACTCATTTTTGAAGGCTAACACATTGCAAACAAATGTTGAATTACGTTTGGCATATATTCAATAAATTCTTATTTACATGCCTGAAATATGTCAATATATAAAGGTTCTTTTAGCAATTATGGGGAGAAAACTTTTAGTTCAGCTGAAGGTGTGTATGAGTGTGAGTGTGAATATGATGTGGGCTAACCACATGCATCCGCTGTAATAGCATCAGCCAGAGAGACTCCTGCTCCTTTCATTTGTTACTACAGATGTGGTAAAAGGTGAAAAGATTCTTCCAGTATTTGATGAGCCACCAAATCCAACCAATGTGGAAGAGAGCTTAAAGAGAATTAAAGAAAATGATGTTCATCTTGTTGAAGTTAATTTGAATAATATAAAGGTAGGTGTGCTAATAAGCTGACAAAGTTTTGAATTGCTTTGGGTCAGTTGTATCCTGCATGAGAGCTGAGCAGTTTTGATAGGGTATAATTTTTTCTACCTGAAGGTAAAGGTTTTGCTCCTAACAGTATGCTAACATAGATTCCTTCACATTTTAGAAGTTAGAAACATTACAGTATTTTTCTGACTTGCTTTTTAAGGAATATTACATAAAAATGTAACTCTTACAGACTGTCAGCATAAATCTCTCTGTTTTCCAGAGTACCGCCTACTTTTAAGAGTATTTAGTCTTGATTTTTTTAGTCAAGTTTCTTGAGGTATAATTTCTGTATAGTCAACTTCTCCCCTTCTAGTGTACAATTATATGACTTTGGACAAGTGCATACAGTTGCATACCACCACAGCAGTCAGATCTAGAACATGTCACACCTCTTTGTCATCATTCTCTGGCCCCAGCTCTAGCCCCTGACAACCACCGAGCATTTTTCTTTCCCTGTCATTTTGCCTTCTTCATAATGTCATACAAATAGAATCATACAGTACATAGCCTTTTGAGTCTGGTTTCTTTCACTTAGCATACTGCATTTGAGAGTCATCTGTGTTGTGTGTATCAGTAGCTTATTTGTTTGTATTGTTGAGTAGTATTCTAGTGGACAATATGTGGCAATATGTTTATCCATTCTGCAATTGGTAGACATAAGGGTTGCTTCAGTTTGGGATGATTATGAATAAAGCCACTGTACACATTCATATAGAATAAATGTTTTATGTGAACATATGTTTTTGTTTCTCCTGAATAGACAAACCTAGAAGTAGGCTTTCTGGGATCTTTAAAAAATGCAACTGTTCCTTGGGATAAAGAAAGAAGAAATGAATTAGGAGGGCATAGGAATAATTAATTACCAAAGAGTAATTCTGTCTCTTGGTATTGGCCATTATGTATAGCTTCATTACAAATTACTCATTTAAAATTTTGATTTATCTGAACTGGGGGCAGAGGGAGCATCTGGAAATTACAAGGACCGGGGAATAAGATGTCTGTGCTCCTTTAGTAGTGGTTGTTCCTTCCTGTGAGTGGAGGAAAGAAAACCTTGGAGAAAGCTAATTAGTTGATACTAATCTTAATTTTAAAACAATTCAGGCCTCATGATTTCTGTCTCTAAATCAACAACAGTGATGTGAAAATAACCAGGCTACAGGGAATTAAAGTCTTGGTATTAGAGAGAAATAAGTGACTTCTAGAATCCTGTCTTTCCACATTTCAAGGAATGTAGGGATCAATCTCTCTTAGTACCTGATTCAGACTGAGTGACTGAGAACAGCATGTCATCCGCCTCGGGCATCACACTCAGTAGAGGTGGGCTCACACATCTGTCTCTAGAGAAGTGGGGACCCACTCTGAATACTCAAGCACTTATTTTTTATAAATATGAATAATTTAAAAAATAGAATTTAACCTAAATGCTAGAGAAATGGTGAGAAATACTCTGTTGTAGGTAGTAGTTTATATAAATGTACCATAATAATAGAGAAGTCAAATAGATAATATGGAGGAGACTGAATTGTTTTCATTTGTAGACTGTTGTGTTTATAAAATTTCTGAGTATATCTTAATGAAAAAAGTAAGTATAAATATATTTGATTAATGGACTGAATTTCCTGAAAACTAGAATGTTAATTTCACATTATTGTCTTCAAGAATATCCCAATTCCAACCCTAAAAGATTTTGCGAAGGCTTTGGAAACCAACACACATGTGAAGTATTTCAGTCTTGCAGCCACCCGGAGCAACGACCCTGTTGCTTTTGTAAGTAAGCTTACTATTGATAATGTTGAAATTATTACTATGTACCAGGGTGTTACAGAGGTGGCTAACCATATTTTATGAACAGGATTTCACTCCCTTTTTTCCAATTGATGCTTAGCTAATAGACAATACACTGACTACTTGTTTATGAGTGTTTTTTTTTTTTCCTGTATTTCCTTACAGTTTTTTAAAACAGATGAAGTCATGCTATATGCCATGTTCTGCAGGTTAATTTTTCACTCAACAGCATATCTTAGAGATCTTTTCATATTAGTACATAAAGTCCCACACCATTCTTTTAACATCTGCAGAGGATTCTGTTTACACATCAATAGTGTTGGATTTTGTCAAATGCTTTTTCTGTGTCTTTTGAGATGGTCATGTGGTTTTTTTCCTTTATAATATTTTTTCCTTTATTAACACTGACTAATTTTTGTATATTAAAACAGAACCTCATACCTGGCTCACTCTAGTAAACATCACTATTTTCCTAATATATGACTCTCCTTATCTGACCTAGAGTGAATCCCACTTGGTCATGGTATGAACCTTTTTCTTCACTTGGCTTTGAGGATATTACCCCCATTTGATTCTCCTCCCGCTTCACTGGACATCCCTTGTCTGGTGCCCGGGCTGGTTCCTCATCTCCCCAACCTCTAAGCTTTGGAGGCCCAGGGCTTAGTCCTAGGCCCTCTTCTCTGTTTACACCCATATTATTACCTGTTACTACCAATGTTATTATCTCCAGTTTGTGCCTCTCTCTTGAACTCCATACTCATGTCCAGCTACCTATTTAACAGCTTTACTTGGATATCTAATAGACATCTCAGTTCTAAGTTCTAAACCAAACTCCTGACTTCCATCCCATACCTGCTTCTCTCACACTCTGTCCTATCTTACTAAATGGCAACTTCATTCTTTCATTTGCTCAAGACAAAAAAGAAATGGAGTCATCTTTGACACTCCTTTCTTACAATCTTTAATGTGTATCCAGGCCTGTCTTCAAAATATTTCTAGAATCCAACCATTTCTCACCATTTTCACAATGACTACTCTGGTCTAAGCCACTGTCTTCTCCAATCTGGATTATTTCCATTTGAGCTGCCACTCCAAAGTCAGCTCTTTACACAGCATCAAAAGTGATTCTTTTAAAATGTAAATATTCCATTCCTATACTCAGAACCTTCTAGCACCTCCTTAACCCATTGAGAATGTAAAATCAGAATCTTTCAATGGCCTTCTAAGGCCTTACATGAGCAGCGCTCATCTCCCTTCCTTGCCCCTTCTTTCTGCTGTAGCTATGCAGCCTTCATGCTCTTTTTCACATATACCATATGTGCTCCCAACTCAGTGCCTTTACGCTTGTTCCCCTTGCCTAGAACTTTCTCCCTAAAGATACCCACACAGTTTCACTTTTTTCTTTGAGTCTCTGCTCAAATGTCACCTTCTTGTGAGGCCTTTCATGACCACCCTGTATAAATACAACCCCAGCCCCAGCACAACCCATCTACCCTACTTTGTCTTTTTCCTTCCTCCACAGCCCTTTTTACCATCTGACATTACATTTTGCTTACTTGTTGATTATATGGGCCCCCAACTAGAATGTAAGTTCCATCAGGCAGGGACTTGTTTTATTCCTGAATCTACAGAGCAGTACTTACCAAATAATGGGCCATCGGTGATATTGCATAAATATACATACAGATGGTTGAGTAAGGGATTTATTTGTTCAGGTCATATAGCTAGTTGTCACTAATGGAAAATACAAGTGCATAGGTATCTGTCCCAAGTTCTCTCCACTATCCCTGCCCCCTATTGCCTTTTCTTTAACTTGACTTTAATTTTATACTTGATCTTACCCATATTTTCTAAAGTTTGACCTTGCTTTGACCCCTCCAAGGGGCTGTTTTATATGAACTCACACTCGTATTCTAACTTCCCTCTCACTTCATCCCCCTCTTCTCACTTCCAGGTTTCTGTAATTAGTACACTGTTTGTTAAGCACCGGTTCAAATGCCTAGCACTACCACACCCTGTGAGCAATGTAATGGAAGCAGACTGAGGACATACCTTTCCTTCAGGAATTTGATACTCAGCCCTTCTTCTCCATGGGCTTTGTGCTCTTGCAGTCCTAGTTCCTCGTGATGTTTTCCGGCCTTCTGCCTTAGGCAGTCCTTTTCGTTTCTACCTTGGAAATTGGTCCATAATTTACTCTCATTTTAGCTTCATAGTGACCCAGCAACATCAGGACCCAAGAAAGAAAAGTTTCAAAGAGAGATGAAAATAGTCCTACACAGAAACTAAGGAAGTGTGAGAGTCACAGGAGAAAGCATAGCATAGGGTCTGAATGAACATATGAGTGTAAACAGAAGTAGAGAATGTTACCAGGAGAAAATTTCATGTGACAAAAAGTCTAAAGATTGTGACAGGGTACATGTGAGGCCTGTGAGGTAGTGTGTCAAGCTAAAACAGTCTAATGAGAAATACTAAGGTAGTTGTGTTAATTAGTGCATTTGTTTGCAATGTACAGTGTGTAATAGGTGCTCTCAAATTTCAATCTCCAAATATTTTTTTTCTTTAATTTTTAGGCTTTTGCAGATATGCTAAGAGTGAACAAAAATTTGAAGAGCTTAAATATGGAGTCCAACTTTATTACAGGAGTTGGGGTTCTAGCACTGATTGATGCCTTAAGAGATAATGAAACACTGATAGAGCTCAAGATTGACAACCAGGTTGGTGTTCCCCAGCAGTAACTGGGAAGCCACAACCACAGTGCTGTGCCAGTGGGGAACTCGGGAGACTGTGGCGGGTGGGCTTTCAGGGAGCCCCTGGGGAGATGGTGGCCTGAAAGGAGATGAGCAGATATTTGAGGCATGCAGAACATTAATTTTCTGTATTTGGTGTAAGTTTTTAGCATATTCATAGAATTGTGCAACCATCACCTCTGTCTAGTTCCAGAACATTTCATCACCCCCCCAAAGAAACCCATGCGCCTTATCAGTCCCTCCCTATTCACTCCTCCTTCCAGACCTAGGCAACCACTCACCTATTTTTTGTCTCTGTATATTTGCCTGTTTTGGACAGTTCATGTAAATGGAATTGTGTAACATGTGGTCTTTGTTTCTGCTTTCTTTGACTTAGTGAAATATTCTGGAGGTTCACCCATATTATAGCCTGTATCAGTACTTAACTCATTTTTTATGGCTGAATAATATCTGTTATAGTTAGCTTGTTTTTACTTTTTGAAGAGTAGAAGTAATGCTGCTGTGAACATTCATATGTTAAGCTTTTATGTGAATATAAGATTTTATTTCTCGTGGATAGGTACATAAGACTGGGATTGCTAGGTCATATGATAGTTCTATGTTTAACTTTTTGAGGAGTGGATAAATTGTTTTCCACAGCAACCACTCCTTTTACATAGCTACTAGCATGTCTGAGGGTACATTCTTGCCAATGCTTAATATTGTCTCTTTTTATTATAGTCACCCTATAATAATGGTATCTCATTTGTATAAATTTACACTTTTTTGATGTGTGATCATATACTGAACTCTAAAATTTTGTTTCTCTTATGTGTTTTAAGAATTAGGGAAATTTTAAAAGACCAACAGAATTAGCATGTACCTGAATGTTTTAGTCTTGACTTAACCTTGAAAGTATTTTGATCTACTTTATTAATGCTGTTCTTTAATTCTGATTGTTCCAGAGGCAGCAGTTGGGGACCGCTGTAGAATTGGAAATGGCCAAGATGCTTGAGGAAAATACAAATATCCTTAAATTTGGGTATCAGTTTACACAACAGGGACCCCGAACCAGGGCAGCTAATGCGGTAACAAAAAACAATGACTTAGGTAAGACTATATGCAACATCAGAATGAATTTCTGGATTGTATCAGTAAGCTAATGTGTTGGAGGAACTTTTTTTTTAACCTTTAAAATAAAGTTTAAGAAAGAAAGATTACTTGGCCTTTGTTTCTAAATACTGCATGGTTGTTTTTACACTGATTGAACTAGAGATGAGTTGAAGTAAGGTTGTAGTGATTATTGGGTTAGTGGGTAAAATCTGCTTAGTGTAACACATATTTAAGCGGACAGTTTTCTACAACAAGCACTATAGTAAATGCTTCCTAAAACAAATATTTCGTTCAGTAGCAAGTCACCCTGTGGAGCTATTAAAACAAAGATTTCAACATTACAGGAAAGTTTTTTGCCCTTTAAATCAAATAGGCTCTGATTAAAAATTCGATTTTATATGATAAAATATAGAATAATAATAGTTTTAGCTCAAGTCTTACAGTCAGTGGTATGTGTATGTATGCCTTCTTCCCAGAGTTCTTAACACAGCCCAGATGGGCTGCTTGTCTCCTGCACAGTTAGGTCAGTGGGCTCCCATTCTTACATGACTTGGGTTCGACTGCTGAGGCTTGTGCTTCTGTCTGAAGTAACTTTTCCAGCCAAAGCTGAATTAAAGAATATGATGGTTATCGTTTTGTTTTTACATGTTTCCAAAAATTGGCTCCTTTTAAGTTTGGTGATTGTCCTTGAAATACTTTAAAAGACAAGAATTAAATAAGACCTTAAGTGATGCAGTTCTTTTAAGCGTTCGTCATATTTGAGTTTGCATTCTTTAAGGTTCCTGGAGCAGAAAAAAATAACAGTTCCATTCCTTTAATCCAGATCACTATGAAAAGTGTTGGTTCAAACCCATTCTGTCCTTTATGACTATAGTTGCCATAGATATTTTGGCCTTTTGCTTTTTAAGAGAGAAAAGTGGTGTGTTTTGGTGAATTGTTGATTGTCAATATGGTTTGCAAAGTGATCAACATTCTTTTAGTTTTGGTTCACAAATTGGCTCCTATTTTTTTCCTTCAGGTATTTAGTTCTGCCTTTTAGAACAGTATTTCTCAAGTCTGGCCAAACTTCACAAATATTTGGAGAGCTTTAAGAACATATAGATTATTGGCTATAAAGCAGCTACTTTTTAAACTTAGTTATACTTCATTGTAATTGTCTATTTTCAAAGACTCCATGTTTTTGAAGGAAGGAGCCATGTCGAATCCACAACTCTCTTAAAACCATGTCTGACTTAATAAATAAGGTACTTAATTACGATTTATTAGGTGAATAAAGAAAGTGATAGAGTTTGAACTCTGCTCAAAGTTGTAGATTTCTGGTAAGTAATAGGCAAAAAGCCATAAACTGAGTCCAGAAGTATCCTCCATTTTCCTGTCTTCTGAAACTGCCTTAGCTTTCCCAGGATCCCACAGCAACCTTGCAGCCCAGCCACCTCTGTCACCTGTGTCCCTCCCAGCAGGCAGGAACACCAGCAGCTGTCCCGAGGGAGCAACACAGAGCCCACATGGGCAACAGGGACGCCAGCCGTGCTCTTCTGCCTAGTGTGATGGGTGCTTTGCCCAGATTTCTATAAAAAAAGAAAGCAGATTTGGGCAGAGCGAAGATGAGGGGACAGAGGAAAACAGTAACTGACACCGAGCAGTTGAGTAGTGTTCATGGCTAAGTCATAGAGGATAAGGAGGCCATGCTGAAGTTGTGAACCGACACAAAGCAGAGCTGGAGGAAAGCAAACAGCTTTGTGCTGGCAGCTCTCTAGAACCAGCGGTGTTTCATCTGATCCAAACAAGGTTTTCAGACATGGATCTCAGGCATGAAGTGAGAAGAAGGACATTCCTGGGGTGGGGAATTGCATGGACACAAGCTCAAATTTGAAGTAAGCCAAGATATTTATATGCTGAGAGCAGCCTGCAGGTTTTGAGCACTGACCCTTGTATCAGGGTCCTGCCTCCAGAGTAACCTTCCAACAAGTACTTGCTGCTTAAAGCTGACAATAAAAATGTGATGTCAGCAGACAGAGAGGGAATGCTGGTAGAAGGCACTAAAATTACATGGTTAAAGGACTGATTTCTTTGGATTTTTTATGGGAGGTCTTTAAGAGACATTATAGGCCACTGAATGCATGATTAAAATTATACTTCAAAAAAAAACCCTTTATTCTTACTACTCCTCTAGAGATAGGAAATGAGGTTAGTTAGGACTTACTCATAATTGACTAATCATGAAGTATTGCAAACTTATTGTTGGAGTGGGTTTTGGAAAGAAATTGTCAAAGAATTGTTACTGGGCCCAATTTATAAGCCTTTCATCTAGAGGATGAACTGAGGAATTGCTAAGTGGCCACCTGAGAAAGAGGAATTGGAAATGGTTCTTTGCCCCACCTTCTGTGGTGGTGTGCTCACATCACCCTTGGCTCGGTTTTCTTTTCACTCTACACTTTGCCCTATTCTGCCCAGAGATTAAGGTGGCAAGTGTAAAGAATATGTTTTTCTTACGTGCAGTCTACTATGTAGACACCAGAAAGAGGTATTAAGGAACAAGACTTGAAACTTGTACAGAATCACCTGGGCAAGTATGTTGTCTTCACCTTGCTAATAGTGCTTTATCTCATCTTTGGTATTCTGATTTTGATAATGTCTTTCCCTCTCTCATTGTTTTCTTAGTCTCAACTGTTCATTGAAATAGTCCTACCTACTCACCATTTCTCCAGCTAAGAAGTACTGCAGCTATAACAGCAAAAAGCTTATATGGTATACATGCAATATTCAGTTGAACTTCGAGTCTCATATTACTATCTTACACTAGCTAACTACATAATCAATTTTTTGTTTGCTCTACTCTGTCCTATAGATCCTGCTTACAACATATTTTTCAATAACGTGTTTTGCCAATAACATCCAAACCCTGCTTCAATTCAAAATTTTCTTGGAAATGCTCTACCCAAAGAATGATCTGGTTTGATATATGAATTAGGTTTGTGTTTGAGGACTCAAGTCTCCATTTGTTTTTTTCCTTAATATCTCAGGAAACACATGGAACTTGTTTTTCATTAATGTGGACTAAAATTAGAGCCAGTCATCCTTAATTAGATAAGTATGAAGATATTCATGGTAACTTGATACTTTAGTCCTACTGGTTTTATTTTCTAGCCAGCACCCAGCCAGTGGCTAGACAGGCTTTTATGCACATCACTTGAATGTCAGGTCTCATTACTGAAGGCCAGCAAACAGAAAAGCCAGCAATCAGAGAATATCATGAGCAGAGTATCTGTAGCTTGGCCAGAGGCCAGGTGCACCTATTGGCTCTTTATTTCTCTGTTACACAGCCAGTTCCTACCTGCACATTCCTACCTGCTTCCATAAACAGAAGAGCGTAAGATTAATAGACCAACAATCTAACTTAAACAGGAGCTTACTGATAATATTATCAAAACCAGTAACACACAAAAGTCTTCTAACTATAAAAGGTTAATTGGCTTCCTTCCCCTAAAACGATGGCTGCCCAGGGCCGCAGGACCAACCCATGGTGGATGATGAAGCTGAGTAGTCTTTATTATATACTTACTGCATTCTCAGTACTACACTAAGCAGCATATTGTACCTTTACTTGCATGGCCATGAGGTACTGATACCATTATTCTCCCATTACAGAGGTTGAGTTGAGGCTCAGAGAGGTTAACTTACTTACCAAAGAGCACAAGACAAAAAAGTGCCAGAGCCCTGAGTCACAGTCTGTCACTGACTCCAAACCTGTGCTTTCTGTCCTCTCTGCATAGGAGTTGGGCACAGTGCTGAGGAGCCTGACCTGGTGGCTCTCAGCACACGCTCTCCAGTGGCTGATGGGTGAGAGTGAAGGTAGTAAGATCTTGAAGTTGAAGACCTTGCCCTGCTATGAGCACAGCCTAGTGGTTTCAGGTCACCAGTCCATGAAGAGGCCAGCATGTCCTCAGATATATGTACCTTTCTCTACTCCATCAGCTGAACTAGGCTGACCACTTTGGCAGCCAAAGTTCATGGGAGCCAGCTATGACCTCATCACATTACTTTGCATTTGTTGCATCCTAATCCAGTTCATTTTGTAGGAGATGAAAATAAAAATTTGAAGAACAGTAGCAAGGCACTTACCTTTAAAAATGACAAAAATGTGTTTCATCTGTTCTTTCACAAACTAAGAACATTGTAGTGCCTAATCAGAAAAGCATGCAGATACTTACCTTTAGTCCTTTCTGTTCCAGCTACCTGAATGTCACTTCACAATTTAACACAATAATATATTACTCTTTTTTTTTAATAGAGGTATACATTGTTTTCATAAACATATGAGACAGGCACAGTGACTTGAAGGCGCTTGGTGACCATTCTGTTTTAGATTTCTGATATTGCTGCTGTGTGAGCACAGTTGAGCTAATTAGGGCAGAGTTCTCACTTGGAAGCCCCTCAGTTCTTTGCTGCTGCTGTTAATCGAGGTATATGCAAATGCACGAATCTTGGTGTATAGCTCAGTGAATTTTGACATGTGTTATACACTCATGTAACCATCACCCAGATCAAAATAACAAACATTCTGATTTTTCCCCCTTCCCCTGTTTCACCCATTCCCTACTACCCCACCCCCAACCCCAGCAACCACCAGTCTGGGTCTCTGGTCTACTTCTGTTTTATTTGTTCTTTCTTCTTCCACATGTATATGCAATCATATATTTGTTTTTCTCTATTTCATTTAGCATAATATCCTCTAGGTCCATCACGTTGTTGCAAATGGCAAGATTTCATTTTTTTATGGCTGAATAATACTCCATTGTATTTATGTACTACATCTTTTTTATCCATTCATCTGTTGGTGGACACTTAGGTTGCTTACATATTTTGGCTACTCTAAATAATACTACAATAAACAGAATGCTGCAGTAAGCATATATCTTTTCAAATTAGTGATTTTGTTACCTTTGGGTACATTCCCAGGAATGGAATTGCTGGATCATATCGCATTTCTATTTTTAGTTTTTTGAGAAACATCCATACTGTTTTCCATAGTGGCTGCACCCGGTTACATTCCCACCAGCAGTGTATGAGGGTTCCCTTTCCTTCCTATCCTGGCCAACACTTACTTCTTCTTGCCTTGGCATTAGCCGCTCTGGCCTGCATGAGGGGATACCTCATTGTGGTTTGATCTGCATTTCCCTAATGACTAGTGATGTAGAACATCTTTTCATATATCTGTTGGCCATCTGTAAGTCTTCTTTGGAAAATATCTATTCAGGTCTTTTGCCCATTTTTTAATTAGATTATTTGGGGGTTTTTTAGTGTTGAATTGTATGAATTCTTTATGTATTTTGGATATTAGTCCCTTATTGGATACATCATTTGCAAATATATTCTCCCATTCAGTAAATTGTCTTTTTGTTTTGTTGATGGTTTCCTTAGCTGTACAGAAGCTTTTTAGTTTGATGTAGCCCCACTTGTTTATTTTCGCTTTTGATTCCCTTGCCTGGAGAGATGTATCCAGAAAAAAATTACTCATGCTGATGTTAAAGAGTTTACTACCTATGATTTTTGAAGCCCCTCAGTTCTCAACAGGTATATGACAAAGATGAAGAATGTGAATTTTTTATTTTAATGGCCATGTGAACTGGAGATGGACACTTCATTTCTATTACAGCTGTAACTGGATTATGTGGGAACTTGTTTATTACAAACAAATTAACATTGTACAAGTTAACATAGATGTTTAACATACTTTCTTTTATTTTTCTCATAGTTCGCAAGAGACGAGTTGAAGGAGACCACCAGTAAGTTAACCAAGATATTATCTTTGGAAGACTTAAGAAGGTCACCAAGGGTCATGATGGTGATATCAAATGTAACATTTTCCTGGGTAGAAGGGAAAAGACTGGAAATTTTTTTTTTTAACTACATATATCTTTTTTCTAGTTTAAGTTGTTAACCAGCTTCAAATTGTAAAATCAGTAGGTGTTATTTTGTATTTTAAAGCATTATTTCTACTTTCTGCTAAAATTAGTTTTAATTTAGCTTACTTGAATTGTTTATGATGAGAATTGGATAGAAAAATACAATTGTAAAAAAGTTTAGGAAGTCATTTTTACAGAACAATATTAACACTTTAAGGACCAATCTTTTTTAAATCAAAAAGGGATATTGCTGTATCAGAATTACTGTTGCACTCTTAGGTACCAAGGCACTTCAAAGCTTTTCTTATTCTGTGACATGGAGACTTTTCCATGTTTTAGAATACGTAAACTTGGCAAAGAGTGTGCTTTTTGCTTCTATCAAGAAAGCAAAATGCTAGAATTTTTAAACAGACAACTCAAACTCTGATAATCTGTTTAGAAGAAAAGTAGACCTCTAGGGGAAGGAAGATGGTCACTGAGCACCCCCGGCTGCTGCACTTGTCTTACGTGTTTCAGCAATGCCTGGAGCTTTTTAAATGAAGTCATCAGCTCGGCTGGGCTGCATACTTTTTTTAAAGTATAGTTATGTTTATGTCTAAATTCATTACAGGTTTTCATTTTAATAATGGGGTGTTATTTTTGTGAAAACTCATAGTAGAAGCATCTGAATAGGAAAGCTATTTCTTTCCCTATAAAAGGTTTACAGCCAATTCTTGGTTATTTAGGGTCAAAGAAAATAAGCTGTTATTAAACACATGAAATCAAAGATAACTAACATGGAGTTAGAGGAGTATGCAAAGTGGTCATTTAAACTGATGGTTGCTGTAAATTAGGAACTAGCATGCATATAAATTGTGTTGCACAGTATAGTGAAACATTCCTACGTGCCAGGCAGTATTTAATCACCATTTGCTAGAAATTTTTTAACCAATAAGGAAAACTGCTATTCTTCGTAAGTCTTAATTTTGTTTCCTTTCATCATGTACTTCTTTGTCCGTATTGTGTAAAAGTTATTTGTCATAACAAAAGATGTCTTCCTCTCTCTCTGAGTATTAAAGTGAACAACTGAGCAGTGTTCTGTGGTGGGAAGGCTGCCTCCAGAACCAGCAGCAGTAGAGGGCTTGGACTTGTATCCCTGCCATCCCTGGGCAGCCCCTGCAGCAGAAGATGGCAGAGGCATTCCAGCTACAGAAGATGGGCATGGGCGGGAGGAATCTAAGTGATCCTGGCTCAGAAATTCAGGCCTGCCTGTATTCATTTACAGGGAGATTTTTCTAAATGGAGGAATCTCATTTCAGAGTATGGGGAGAGGTCTGTTAGTTTATTAACTTTTTAAAATTGGATTACAAAATATCCGCTCCTTCAGCTTGGGCTGGACGGTTGGTCTAATAAACTAGGCAGCTTCTTGTATACTTTGGCAATGAGCTTTCTTAACAGGCAAAGCTTCCCTTATAAGAACTGGAAGCATTTGCTTTTTTTCAGTTAGTATCCAGTGTTTTAAAGGGGCCGAAGATTGACTTGTCACTGTATTTTTCCATTGTAGTTAATGGGCCACTGATACCCCCCACACCCAAGTTATCAAGCCTCTCCTTCCCTCCCTCTCTCTGTTTCTCTCTCCTTTTCATATACACCTTTGGAAGTGTACTTGATTTGAGAGACTGCACTGTTTCCGCAGGGTAGAGGAGTCAGCGTGGAGCAGGTGTGTTAGGCTAGCGATACACTTTCAGCAGGGCCCCCTCACTCGCACTCTCCTCTTAAGTCGGTAAATTGTTAATAGTACCCCTTCCTCCCTTAAGTTTTTTTTCATATGGATAGATGGGACCCTACTAAAATTCTGTATCATACTTATGGTAGTATCTTTTTCATATACTTATCAAATTGTGAAGTTGTTTTGCTTGTACCATTCCAGTTTTGAGCTGCAATAGTTCATTGTTGTAATTGAAGATTTCTTCATAAATAACTTTAAAGATGAACACATCCAACTGAATATAGAAAATCTTTCAATAATTGTAATTATAAGGGGGAAACTGATGTTTACTTTGATCTTTAAAATTGTGGCACCTCTTAACCTTTTAGTAATTTTAAGTATGTCTATATTGCTTTGATATTTTAAGAGATTAGCTTTGAGAAATAGTCTTGATGTTTAAACCAAAGATTTTCTAAAACCTTTAGGTCTGTAGTCTAAATCAGTTTAAACTTCACCTGGTTATCTAATCAAAGACAATTTTTTCCATTTTTAAATTGCTATTTTTTAAAAGCTTTTAATTTTATAAACTTTATATTCATATTTGTCTGAAGTTCTAATTTTTCCAGTATGTCTACATGCAATTTTATGTATTAAAATAATATTAATAACTAATATTGATATCATTAAAATGGATTTTGGTGCTGTACACTTGTAGCTAAAGCCTAGTAGAAATCTAAAGTATAGGTGAAATACATTTTCTAAGGGTGCCTGTCATTTGAAAGACCAAATAAACATTTTGTGTTTTAACAAATTAGCCATTTATAAGAGATTTTAAGGAGAATTATCTTTTTCATTAAATGGCAAAATCTTGTTATTTGAATGAAATAACCTATATACCTGCTTTGTGTGATAAATGCACTCTGGAAGAGTTACATGTAAATAGAATTCTGTAAATTATTTTCCTTTTGACAGCATATGATGTGTTTTCATTTAAAAAGAGAAGTCCATGGTATAATAAAAATTATGAAAGAAAAATGTTTTGATAAAATGTTAGCCATATTCTATTGCACATTATATTTAACCCTTGCTGCTGTTAAAGTAAGCTTGAAAAGATTCCTGAGGTTTCATAAAGTCTTATACTTTTGGTTCTGTGTTTCCAGAGCTGCCTTACTTTTTCCTTATAAAACCAGGAACCACTGTTACCTTTCAGGAGATCTGAGGATCATGCTGTTTCTGCCAACTAAGATTTTCTGCAGTTCAACTGCCTTACAATGCCACTTCGCTTTTAAAGAAATTTTTTTCAAGTTTGATTGATATAATTGAATTATACATTGTATTAGTAACTATTAGTTTAAGGTGTAAACATAATGATTAGATGTATGCATGTATCATGAAATGATCAATACAATAAGTATATTTATTATCTGTCACCTCCCATAGTTAAAAAATTATTTTTCCTTGTGATAAGAATTTTTAAGATCTACTCTTATCTACTCTTTTAGCAACCTTCAAATATACAATACAGTATTACTATAGTCACTATGCTATACTCCATCACCAGGACTTATTTATCTTATAACTGGAAGTTTACCTTTTGATGACCTTCACCCATTTCACCCACTCTTCACTCCTGCCTCTGACAACTGCCAATTTGGTCTTGTTTCTGTGAGTTCAGTTTTTATAGATTCTCATATAAATGAGATCATATAGTATTTGTCTTTCTTGGTCTGATTTATTTCACTTGCATAACGCCCACAAGCCACTTCGCTTTTGAATAGTAGTAACTGAAGATATGGCACTCAGAAGAACCAAACATATGGGTGTGCCCAAGCAACTCCTGTCGCTGCTTCAGAGGAGGGCTGCAAGTCCTTGGTTCTGAACACCTTTAGAACTGTCCATCAGCTCTCACTGAGCATTCTTGTTTCTAGATATTTCTCACCAAAAGACTTGCTTTCCAAAAAAAACACTCTTTTTAAATTGAGAAAATATATTTATAAATAGATGTTTATACACATAATGTCATTTTAATATGGGCCTTTCTTACACTGATTTTCCTGCATTATAATTGAACTCCATAAGTTCTTCCCTTTAAAAAGTGAAACTAGCAAATTTTTATAATAAAACATTTATAATATTTTATTAATGTTAAACTCTTAATTGCAGTCTGATCATTCAGAGGAGCCTATCTTAGGGATTACCTAGGGAAAAAAGAAATTAAACTACTTCTAAGTCATTACCAACTATTTTAGAAAGCCTTTACTGACATATAAAGAATGCTGCTTAGGGCACCTGCCCTAGTGGATAGATAAGAATAGATAATAAGAGTATTAAACACAACCAGCTGTTAACATTGTGGTACAAGTTAATAAGTTTTTAAGATAATCAGACACCCTTTAAACAACGTATATGTCAAGTTTAACCCCTTTAACTCCTTAACTCCCTTTCTACACAGTCAGTATGTTTTAATTGCTGCAAAGTAATTGACCTAAAATTTTTCTGTCAGATATCATGGTCCATATTTATACAATCGGAAAGTAAGGTTTAAGAACAAGTGCTGGGTGCTTCTTAGTGGGTATATATGACAATTTGTAGAAGTTTAAATTTTGCCTCCACTCAAAAAAAAAAGTTTTTGATTTAGTTTCAACTTTTTAGATCTGCCTGCTTAAGAATTATTTTAAAAGAATAGCATTTATACATGTGCAAATATATACACAGCATAAAAACCTATGTAATTTCAATAAATGCCTACTATTTTTTTTCAGTCTTGGATGAATTATATCAGTTTTAATTATACTCAAGAGATTGAAAATGATCTTTGTAACAGTGCATTATTCTATTATGAAATCAGTTATTTAAACATTTTTAATACTAAAATATCCAAAATGCTATAAATGTTTATTTTTTCAGTTTCTATAAATATTAAAGCAGTGAATTTTATAATACTGGTATTTAAATTTTAACCTAGTTCATGATAGCACACTGAAGTTTCTTTTGAAGACTTTGTACTATAAGCATTTATAATTTACCACTAAGTGGAGTAATTAATTTCAATAAAGTTTATCAAATATCCCTGTAGACTTGGACTTCTTGAAAAATCTGTTTAGTTCCTTTGTTCTAAAGTTCATTCTTTACATATCTCTTTAAGAACAAGTTTATAAATTTCCCTGAGTTATTCTATCCCACCCTATTAAGTTAAACTGTATAACATTGTCAATACTTGACCATTTTTACCCAAAGGAATAGGAATTTCATATAGTTGAGTCTAATATTGTCAGTACTCAGTCTGGTCTGTCCATAATATTGAACTGAATTGACAAATGTGAAGAAACAGGTACTATGATACAGTGCATTCTGGACCCGAAGGGGCCCAATCCTGCTAATAAACTGGATGTTATTTTTACAGTAAAGCAAAACATCTCATCACTCACCTATTTCCACCAAGAGAGAAAATCAGTGAGAGGTATGATAGGTTTGAAGAAACTTCTAGCAATAAGTGTCAAATCGTGTAAAATTATCAGAGTTCTGAAACTCAGGGAATGAAAGCTCTCCCTTGAGCATTAATATTGGCTAGCCTCCCAAGGATGGATGTCAGGAGGCCTTGATGCTTGTCCCTTTGGTGAGTTGGAGGGTCAGGCATTTGAGTTATCAAGCAACTCCAGCTCCTGCAAGTTTGTGTGGACATGGTGCCAGGAACTGTGTTCGTGAGGAGACAGTGCCCTCATGCTCAGTCCAGTGGCATCCTCCTCTTTTAGGTACCAATTAATGGGGGTGGCTGACCACATGTGTGGATCCAAAATTGCCAAATATCTTCTGTCTTTCAAACGTTAAGCTTTCCTACATGTCTGCAATGATTGAAGCCTTAGAAATCACAGCCCAATTCCCCTACCCACTCCTATTTGCAAACATAGGCAGAGTCTTACGGCTAGCCCCTATAAAAAACAGCCAACCTTATGATTAAATTGTGCTAGCACTTCTCATATTCTGGATGAGTCTCTAAAATTGCCTTTCGGGAGCTAGTGCTAATTATTATGGATGTGTTTGCTACATAACCATGAAATTATGCTTTAAAAGTGTCAAAGGGAGGAGTAGGGATCCAAGATGGAAGCATAGGAGGAAGAGACTGAACTCACCTCCTCCCACATACACACCAAATCTACACCTACTGCCCAGCAGTTCCTCCTGAAGAAGTGAGGGCTAAAACAGCTTCTGCACAACAAAGACCACATAGAGAACTGCAGGAGAAATGGAAACACGGTAATAACAGGAACCCCACCCCCCAATGCTAGAACTGCACTAGGGAGAGAGATCACTGAGGAACTCATGCACAGATTCACTCTCTTGGGCACAGGGGGAGAAAACAGTATAAAGGGCAACTGGAATATAAGAGAAGGAAACCCATTTACTAACCCAAGAATTGCCAGATGGTGGAGGAACTGCTGGAACTCTCTCCAGTGTTGGAGGTGCTGGCGAGCACCACTGTTCACACCTCCACCTCCATAGTGCAGACAGGAGCAGAGTCCAGACATTAGCCAGCCTGCCACCTTAGGGTGCCCTGTCCCTCTAAGCCATATCAGTTGCAGATGTGATGTACCCCCACATGCAGTCCACACAGAGGATGTTCCTACACAAGACAACTACTTCAAGACAGAGAGGTACCTGTTTCACCTAATTCATAGAAACAAAAAATGAGACGAGTATGCTCCAAATGAAAAGGCAAAACTTAAAAAAGTATTAAGTGAGATGGGGTTAAGCAATCTACCTGACAAAGAGTTCAAAATAATAAAGATGCCCACCAGACTTGAGAGAATGGATAAACTCAGAACCTCAACAAAGAGAGAAAATTTTTAAAAACCTACTAAAGTATACAATAACAAATAAAAATACACTAGAGGGAGTCAATAGATAGAGGATGCAGAATGGACCAGTGATCTGGAAGGCATGGTAATGGAAAGCACAAGCTGAACAGCAAAAAGAAAAAAAAACTTTTAATGGGAATAGTTTAAGGGGCCTTTAGAACAACATTAAGCATACTAACATTCACATCATAAAGCTCCCATAAGAAAAATAGAAAGGGGTAGAAAACTTACTTGAAGAAATAATAGCTGAAAAGTTCCCTAACCTATTGAAGGAAACAGACATCCAGTTCCAGGAAGCACAGAGAGTCCCAAACAAGGTCAACCCAGGGACATCCACACCAAGCTATATATAATTAAAATGAGAAAGATTAAAGATAGAATCTTAAAACAGTCAGAGAAAAGCCCTAGTTACATAGAAGGGAAACCCCATAAGCCTATCAGCTGATTTTTCAACAGAAACTGCAGGCCAGAAGAGAGTTGACAACACATTCAAAGTGATGAAAGGAAAAATGTACAACCACAAATACTCTACCTGGCAAGGTTATCATTCAGAATTGAAGGAGAGATGAAGAGTTTCCCAGACAAAAGATCAAGGAGCTTACCACCACTAAGCCTGCCCTATTAAAAATGTTTAAAGGGACTATTTTAAGTAAAAAAAAAAATGCTGTAACTAGAAGTGAGAAAATTATGAAAGGAAAATGATTCCCCTGGTAAAACCAGACAGTATTAGTAGGTCAACACTTTATAAAGCTGGTATGAAGTTCAAAAGACAAAAGTAGTAAAATCAATTGTATACAGAAAAATTAGTCAAGGGGTACACAAAATAAAAATGTAAATTATGACATATACATAAAACATGAGAAGGATATAATTTTAAAATCTTTTAGAATGTGTTTGAACTTAAACCATCAACCTGATACAGATTGCTATGTACATAGGATGTTATGTATGAGCGTCGCGGTAACCAAAAACCTCTAATAGGTACACAAAAAATAAAGAGAAAGGAATCCATCACACACAAGAAAGTCATCACACACAAGGGAAGAAAGCAAGAGAAAAATAACAGAAAAGAACTACAAAACAACCAGAAAACAACAAAATGACAATATATACGTATCAATAACTACTTTAAATGTAAATGGACTAAATGCTCCAATCAAAAGACATAGGATAGCTGAATGGATAAAAAACAAGACCCATCTATATGCTGCATACAAGAGAGCCTATTCAGATCTAAAGACACATTCAGACTGAAAGTGAAGGGATGGAAAAAGATATTCCATGCCAATGGAAGTGAAGGAAAAAAACTGGGGTAGCAATACTTATATCAGACAAAGTAGACTTCAAAACAAAGGAACAAAACACAAAGGCATTATATAATGATAAAAGGATCAATCTAACATGATATAATAATTGTAAATATCTATGCACCCAAAAGAAGAACACCTAATATATAAAGCAAATATTAACAGACATAAAGGCAGAAATTGACAGTAATACAGTAATAGTAAGTGACTTCTACTTAAACAACTGGACAGATCATCTACACAGAAAATCAACAAAGAAATACCATGGTTTGAATGACACATTAGAACAGATGGACTTAGCAGACAGATACACAAAATATTCCATCCAAAATCAGAGTATCCATCTTTTCAAAAACATGGAACATTCTCCAGGGTAGATCACGTTAGGTCACAAAAGTCTCAATTAGAGAAGGTCAAAATTGTATTAAGTACCTTTTCTGATCACAAAAGTATGAAACTAGAAATCAATCAAAAGAAAAAAAGAACAAACATGGAGGCTAATCAACACACTACTAAACAGCCAAAGGGTCAACAAAGAAAGGAATGAGG